TGAAATCATGAATGGCGTCATTTGTTTACTAGCACTAAAAAAATTAGCCTAAACTATCTTATCACCTAACCCTAACATTAACCCTAACTTAGGCCGAACACTTAATCATGTGATTTGATTATCACGAAAATATCATTGGGTTCCTTGTTCTTGAAACTACCCAAGCCAATCATCTAAGCATTGTACCAAAGTACTAATAAAGGACTTTAACTCGAACTTATTGTTTGGTTTTGTTAAACTACTGTTTTTACCATACTGGAGCACAATTCAATATACTAACAGCCAATTAAATAATAACATGCTCATACGCAGTAACCATTATGCTCTGATTAAGATTTTTGTTACTTTGTGCAGTTTGATTTGCGCCAAGTCTTTTATTGTTTAAATTACTATTATCTCAAAACTATTTAATATCTTAGTTTTTTACTTTTGTTCACAAACCAAATCTTACTATGCCTCTTGCTAAGAAAAGCAAAGATAAAACAAAAAGATCTATCAACTCGTTTTTTGTATTTAGAATATTTTTTTTGCGTCTTGTTTATGGTTACGGTATGAAAATTAGTGCTAAAACATCATCACCTATTACTAAGCAATTTGGGATAGCTACTCACAACTTAGACTCAAATACGGGCAAATTGCTGATAAAATAAATACTCAAAGTAGTAGAGATACTATAACTATGTCTTATTTACATAATGATGATAGATATAAAGATTGTGATAAATCTGACTATAAAAGTATGGTCTTTACTACGAACCTAACTAGTGGTGTCCTAATTCTCGATAATGAACAATTTACCCGTATTTTAACAGAGAATAAATTTAATAATGACATCATCAAAAAATTATCTTTGGATGAAAATCTCTGGAATCCAAGCATGGATTATTGGAATGAGATAAAGAATATAGTAAATCCTAAAGCCAAAAAAGGTAGTTTTTTATTTATTGTTTGAGGGAATAGAATATCTAATGTTTTTGTGTTTAATTATTATGTTTGTTTACAACGATTAAATTATTTAAAATTCCGGTTCTGTAGTTAAAACAAAAAAGAGCATAAAGATAAATAAAAAAAAGGTTGTTAAAGCTACGTACGATAATATTAACTATTCGCTGAGTGCTAAAGTTCCTAAGTCGACAAAAAAACTCCATCTTGATATTTCCCACAATATTAAAAAAAACAGCGGCAAATATCCTTTATGATGATTTTGGTTTTTCAAAGTATGTTCGAGAAAATAATTTTACCTCGAATTAATAAATAATAAGAAAACTATGATATATTAGCTTAAAGTTATAAAATAATTTATGTCTATGTCTTTTTTTTATTTCACAAAAAATCTCAAAGTGGCTTAATGTTATGATAATATTATATTTATGTTTTAGAACAAGAATTATGTCTAGAATATTATAATATTCTCACTTGTAGAAATATGATTTTTGTACATTTTATTAATTATGTTTTCAATTTTTTTAATAAAGTATTTATGTTCTTGTAAGCTTATCTAAGTTGACTAAAATTGTTGTAATATTATTTTATTTAGTATTCAGTTGGTAACTATTTTTGTTAGTGAAACGTTACATTATCAAAAAGTACTTTAAAGTGTATAAATAAGTTACCCGGGCAATTGATTTACATTAGCCAATTAAACGAATGTCTGACCATGGGTGCTCTTGGGTAGTTTTCAATTATCCGAGGAAACTACCGGCTTTTTCAAAAATCTCTAAAATTTTGATAAAACCGTTTTCTGCGCATTAACAAAAAAGCTCCTTGCAAAATTTTGATATATATAAGTCTCCTCTTAACGTCATCTGAATGCTCACCCTTAACTTAACGCCTGAAAGTTAATTTTTTAATCGAAAAATACGTGGACGATATGCAGCCGATGAAATTTTGCGAATTTTTATATAATATTTTAATTTCATAAAAGTCTACCGTATGCAATATCTCCCAAATAATACCCTTATGATTAAGACCCGGGTATAACTATAATGATTTGCTATTTTTTATATGAAATAAGACCCGGGCACTGTAAGCAGTGGCATACGGTAACGCTTTGAGAAATTTGTCTTGCTTTGAAACACCATATGAATCCTTCGTTCTCTGCAATTTGATAAAATTTAAATTCTCATTAAGTAAATGCATCACACTATTCTAATCACTAACGTTAATTTACATCTTGAAATTAATTGTAACGAAATCACACATCTCGTTTGTTAAATAAGTGACTATGCAACAGTAATACGTGATTTATGGATTAAATATACATTGTTGACGGAACGGAGACTAATAAAGATATGAGCTATAAAAGATTTTCAAAATTTTAATTGCAGAATTGTTGAGTACAAACAAAAATATAGTACAACTCTTAATAAAACGTATTGACTTTTAATAAAAAATTTGTTTTTATATACAGTAACATTTAAAATTTCGACTTATCATCAGTACAGATTTTATTGACTAATTTTACTAAATTTGAACATTAACGATTGGAAAAGTAGCTGTCTTCTGATGTTTTATTAATTAACAAAGCTATGCGCTATAGTTATTTTCTTGATGGTTAATTTCCAAATTGAAAAATCCATATTTTTTTTAATCCGCCTTGATTGTAATTAGCTACGTTAAAGATTAATTTTCTATATTTTGTTTGATAGATCTTTAAAATGCAAGAATTTATATACCTTAAAATATTAATAAAGTCAGAGTAGCGGATAGTTTATAAAAAAAATTGACCAGAAAAAGATGTCGCCATAATTACTAAGTAACTCTAAAGATGGGTAACATACATGTTAAACACTACATCAAACAAAAATTAGGTAATACCAATATATTTTAGCTTATGTCTTTCTTGAATAGTTACAATTCTTAAATTACATTGCTATAATTTATAACAAATCTTGAATTTTAGAAACTTGCTATGGGCCTTATGGTTTTAAGTCTATCAAGTGTCCAAAAGTTCATACGAATCTTTTTTTTTTTTTTACAGATTATGATATTAAGACAAAATCTATAGTAGAGAGCAAAGATTAGCTTTTTACGATCATATTAATAAAGTTCTAAAATTTAAAGGCCAATAATTAAGGCTCCAGCCTAAAACGTCGCCATATTACAACCAATATCATTAAAATTTTTCAAAATTTTGTTTTTGCGTTCTAATGCTGTTAATGCTTTTGCTTCTTTTGACCCAAGATTAAATACATCAAGACCCAAATAAGATATTGTGGTTTCTTGCAGAGTGAATTTACTAATGCTTTTCCTTCTTCTGATCCAAGCTTATTACCACTAAGAACCAAAAAAGTCAGTGTAGTATTCTTGCAAAGTGGATCTGCAAATGCTTTTAATCCTTCTGATCCAAGATTATTATTAAGAAGATTCAAAGGAGTCAGTGTGATGTTCCTGCAGAGTGCATTTGCTAATGCTTTTCCTTCTTCTGATACAAGATTATTTGTAGCAAGTTCCAAAGAAGTCAGCGTGGTGTTCTTGCAAAGTGCATCTGCTAATGCTATTCCTCCTGACCCAAGATTATTAACACTAAGAACCAAAGAAGTCAGCGCGGTGTTCTTGTAAAGTGCATTTGCCAATGCTTTTCCTTCTTCTGATCCAAGATTATTCGCACCAAGATTTAAAGAAGTCAGTGTGGCGTTCTTGCAAAGTGCATTTGCCAATGCTTTTCCGCCTTCTGATTCAAGATTATTATTCCAAAGGTTCAAAGAAGTCAGCGTGCTGTTCCTGCAAAGCGCATCCACTAATGCTTTTCCTCCTTCTGGTCCGAGTTTATTTTCATTAAGATTCAAAGAAGTTAGCGTGGTGTTCTTGCAAAGTGCATTTGCCAATGTTTTTCCTACTTCTGATCCAAGATTATTATCGCAGAGATTTAACTCTGCTAAGAAGTGTTCTTGCAAAGCGCATCTGCTAATGCTTTTCCTTCTTCTGATCCAAGTTCATTATAATAAAGATTCAAATCTTTCAACGTAGTGTTCTTGCAAAGCGCATCTGCCAATGCTTTCCCTCCTTCTGACCCAAGATTATTTTCATCAAGACCCAAAGAAGTCAGTGTGGTGTTCTTGCAAAGTGCATCGGCTAATGCTATTCCTCCTTCTGATCCAAGTTCATTATATTGAAGACTCAAATTTTTCAACGTTGTGGTGTTCTTGCAAAGTGCATACGCTAATGCTTTTCCTCCTTCGGATCCAAGGTCATTAATAGTAAGATCCAAAGAAGTCAGCGTGGTGTTCTTGCTAAGTGCATTCGCTAATGCTTTACTTCCTTCTGATCCAAGATTATTTTCAAAAAGATTCAAAGAAGTCAGTGTGCTGTTCTTGCAAAGTGCATCTGCCAGTGCTTTTCCTCCCTATGAGAAAAGTGGTCCGGGGTGTGGCTCGGGTTGGTTTCGGGAATGCACGAAATGGTACGGGTGGTTGGCACGTAGT